TTAATGATTGATTCATGTTTACCTTATGCTAATATAATTAGTTATTTTGTAGCAATAATAGAGGTCCTCATTATTTCGTAGAAAATGATTGGCAAATAGCTAAAGTATTTCATTCTTTTCTTAAATTTTTTTACTAATCTACTTTACAACTTTCTGGTGTGTATTATTCTACTAGTCTATGGTAATAACATCAATTATAAAATTTTTCAAATTATTTATAAAAAACAAAGACAAGGAATTTTAAATGCGCCAATAAAGGTAATGGAATTTTTTTTTTAAATATTGGAAACCCATTCCTTTTCTTTATTGTTTAGGTGTATATTTGATCCTAGAATTAATTAGCAAGTTTAGAAAATGGTTTTGATAATTTAGTGGAAAATTTACAAACCGAAGTATATGCCAATCAAATAGGAGAGGTAAAAAATACACTTTTGAAGTATATTTCTAATATGAAATGATGGGGAACCCACAAAGAGGCGAAACATCCAGGAAAGCTGCATCAGAAGAAACAAATGAAGACTTCTACTCTTGGGGTGCACTGAATAGGCCGAAGAGGACCTGAATTTGAAGCACAACCTCCTCTTCAGAAGCTCCACCAACAACAACAACTATGTACTGTCTTCCATGCAGTCGCAGAGTAATGAGCTTCAACAATATTTGGCACCCCTGAAATGTTCCAGTGATCCACAACAGAGAGCCAACATTGATCTCTTAGACTATTGGAGAGCCGAAAATGTATTTTTCCGGTATTATCAAGACTTGCCTTGGATGTTTCGTTGTTCCTATCTCAACCATCTCATCCGAACAAACATTTAGTGCAAGTGGAAGAATTTTAAATGAAAGGAGGACTAAACTTTCAAAAATGATGAAGTCCTCACATGTCTTGAGATTGGGAACGGTCGCGCCATCAAGGTCAATACGAGGTTGTTGACGATATTTTAATAGAATCATTTCAATTTGTAATATAGATGATACAGTGAGGAGGTCCTAGTGAACCCCAAAATTAGTTGATTTGTAAATTGTAACTTGTAAATTAATTGTTAATTATTGCACTCTTTTTTCCTTATCAAGTTTTTGTCCCATTGGGTTTTTCTTGGTGAGGTTTTTAACGAGGCAATAATTATTGTAATTTCTTATTTTATTTTTTAATAAATGAATAAATTTAACTATTCTTATATTACAATTTTAATGTATTAAAATTGAATTAATATTTGGAATGTTAACAAAAAAAAAAAAAATTAATTTAATTTAATTTAATTATTGATATTTGAAAAGAAATTAACATTGAACTAAAAAAAAATTACATTTTTTTATTTATAAATTGTTAATTATTCATTTGAAAAGTTAATTAAACATTTAAACTTAAACAAAATAAAAAAAAAAAAAAAAAGATCAAAAAGAGGGTTAACCCGGCCCAACTCGCGGCCTAACCTGGCGAGTTAGGGTTGGCGGTCCGGGTTAGGCCAGCCAATTCCCCAACATTGGCGAGCCTAACCCGGCCTGCCAATGTTGCCGGGCGGGTCAGGACCAACCCGCAACTTTGTGCAACCCGCCGCGGGTCAGGTTGGGTCAGGCCAAGCAGGCTGCTTTTCCACCTCTAGACATGATTATTACTGGTGATGATATTGATGGTATTTCAGTTTTGAAGACAGAGTTAGCTTAACAGTTTGAAATGAAGGATTTGAATTCTCTACGATATTTCTTGGGTATTGAGGTAGCCTACTCACCTAGAGGTTATCTTCTCTCTCAGTCGAAATATGTTGCAGATATTCTTGAGCGGGCTAGACTTACTGATAATAAGACTGTCGATACTCCGATTGAGGTTAATGCAAAGTATTCTTCTTCTGATGGTTTACTTTTGTCAGATCCTACTTTATACTGTATTGTTGTTGGGAGTTTGGTATATCTCACTATTACTTGTCCAGATATTGCATATGTTGTTCATGTTGTTAGTCAGTTTGTTGCTTCTCCTACTACAGTTCATTGGGCAGTTGTTCTTCGTATTTTACGGTATCTTTGGGGTACAGTCTTTCAGAGTCTTTTACTTCCATCCACCTCTTCCTTGGAGTTGCGTGCATACTCTGATGCTGATCATGTTAGTGATCCCACGAATCACAAGTCTGTTACTGGTTTCTGTATCTTTTTGGGTGATTCCCTTATTTCTTGGAAGAGTAAGAAACAATCCATTGTTTCTTAATCTTCAACCGAAGCAGAATATTGTGCTATGGCATCTACTACCAAAGAGATTGTTTGGTTACGTTGGTTACTTGCAGATATGGGCGTTTCTCTTTCTCATCCCAGTCCTATGTATTGTGACAACCAGAGTTCTATTTAGATTACTCACAACTCGGTTTTTCATGAACGAACTAAGCACATTGAGATCGATTGTCACCTTACTCGTCATCACCTTAAGCATGGCACCATTACCTTGCCCTTTGTTTCTTCTTCTTTGCAGATTGCAGATTTCTTTACCAAGTCGCATTCTATTTCCCGTTTTCGTTTTCTAGTTGGCAAACTCTCGATGATTGTAGAAGCAGCATAGTGAGTTTGAGGGGAGATGTTAAGAAATATGGGTTATTTTGTTTTATTGTTTATTAAGGGTAGATCTGTCTTTTCATTATTTCCTTTGTTTAGCCTATATATATCTTTGTATTTAGGTTAAATTATACTTTTCATATTCAATTGCATTATGCAGTATCAATGAAACCTTAGCCTCCTCTTTTTATTATTTCTTTGGACTGTTTAATATTACAAAAATGCTATATTCACCGAAAGATTGGTACCGAACAGTTATACCGAAATACGTGAACATTGCCATGTTGGACGATAGAACACTAACGTAAATGGACGGGCGTCCAAATTCTATGGACGGGCGTCCCTTAATATGGACGGCCATCCAAAAAGTACAGTAGGTGGACGCCAGTCCATCTGTTATGGACGGTCGTCCATCTTATAGGGACGGCTGTCCGCATGAGATGGACTGCCGTCCATCGTATTGTGTCAACAGGCAATACTGGATATCCTATTGTAAAGTCTTTTGGGAACATTCATGATACTAGTATCCAACCCTCTCGTCCAACTGAGTTGATAGATTCTGGCATTGCAATTCAGAATGATAATAAGTTGCACCCTTTTGGCTTGTTGTGGTCAGAGCTCAAAGGAACTCACACAAGACCTACAAATGTGCCTTCTAGTGTGGGAAGGACTGCTTCATACGGTGCGATAGCTGATCCAACTCTTGCTGCAGACACAGTCGGATATTTATAGAAAAAACATACCTGCTGGCCCCATTGTGTATCAAGATCCTATTGCTACTCACCATATGCGACGCATGGAACAGGAATCCAACCATTTTGATCTAGCAGAGCAGCTTTTGTCTAAGCAATTGCAGCAACAGCAGCTCTAACAGTGAAATATGTTTCCTCATACACGCCTGAATGAATCAGTTTTAGAACAGTTGCCAAATCAGAATCTGATTCATCAACAACAGTTGGCAAACCATCCAACTTCAGATATGGAACATCTCTTGACCCTTCATCTGCAACAACAGCGTCAGCTTGAACTTCAACATCATCAATTGTAGCAACAACAACTTTTGCAGGAGCGACAGCAATCACAAGCTCAACAGGTGCTTTTTGAGCTGTTAATGCATGGTCAAATGCCTGATCTTGCCCGGGCACTCACATATTGACCCAATAAGAGCAAACAATGTTCTCGATCAGGCTTTATTAGAGCAACGCCTTTTACATGAGATGCAGCGGCAGCAGACATGGAGCTTCTCTGTTTGGCGTTTGAAGAAGTTGAAATTTTAAAAATTTTCATATATTATGGACGCCAGTCCATCTAGTCGTCCACATAAGATGAACTGGATCCATCTAATCTTTTGTTTTCATTAAAAAAAAAAAAAAAATTTGTATTGCTTATGGACGTCAGTCCATCTATTGTGGACGGTCGTCCCTATAAAAGGAACGTCAATCCATCTATTGTGGACGGCCGTCCATATTAAAGGGACGACTGTCCCTAGTATTTGGACGGTGGTCTATTGATTTTTAGTTTATTTTTAAATATTTGTTATGGACCGTTGTCCATTCCTGAATAATGGCCGTCCACGAAGTATGGACGGCCATCCATTTATAAAATTCTTTTATCGTGTCCTACGTGACGATGTTTGAGCCAGGGGCCACATATTTCAGTGCAATTTTCTGATACCCATTTCCGATGTCTATAGCATCGTTGTATTAATATTAACCAGCAGATCCTGTAGGTAATTGAAGTCATCAAACATGGTCATGTACCCATCTTAATTTAATTATCAACTCCAAACCTCAGTATCAATCAATCACAGCCACTAGTATTTTATTTGTTTCCATAATATTTACTTTTCTTGTTGAATATCATAATAAGAATATAAAAGTCTCAAACTTGTCAACTGACAATTAATTTATATTAATTGGTCATATCCGCTTATCCGCAATTTCCGCATGGGATTGGAAATTTTCTTATGACTCCATAAGTCATAAGTCATTATTGGGTTAGGGTGTTGGCGGGCCAGCTGGGCAGCATAAGTGTGGAGTAAGAAGTGGCTTGTCAATGGTTAGGATTGGGATTGGATTGGTGAGGGTAAAATGATAATATGCTTTTGCTTAATAAAAATATATCGATATTTAATAGAAGTAAGGGTAAAATGATAATCGATATTTAATAGAAGTAAGGGTAAAATGATAATCTCATAAAAATTTTTAGCTTTTAATTGAACATACACGTACTTAGGGTTCAAGCCTTGAACTTCAAGGTAATTCTAAAAAATTTCTTGTAAAAGTGCCACAATTTTGATTATTAAATATCTCTGGGTAATTTTTGAAATTCTCCCAACAGTCTGGTCTCCGCATGCTTATTTGGTCTCTGTAGTTGACTTGACTTCGAGATAAAGTGAAGCCACATGATGAACCCTCTTAAGTTGGAAATGTCCGAGAGGTTCATGCACAATTTCCACTAAGCAACAAAAAATCAAAAATTATTAGAAGAATTCCCATCTCCCTCAGCATTTCCTAGCAGCCCCCTCCAACATGAGCTTCTTCAAAATCCTCTCCTTTTCCTATTTCATACTTGATATTTTCTACTTCAGCCTCAGTTTCACCTCCATCAATGCAGCCAAATTTGTATTAGTAAACAATTGCTCCTACACGGTTTGGGCAGCAGCGGTGCCTGGCGTGTCCAAGAAACTCGAGCCGAAAGAAACATTGAGTTTCACACAGGATTCTAGCTCTAAAGTTAAGGGCCGCATATGGGCCCGAACCAATTGCGCCTTCAATGGTACGGGAAACGGCAAGTGTGAGAGTGGAGACTGTAATGGCCTACTTGATTGTGTGTCAACTAGTGAACCTGAGGCCCCTGTCACCTTAGCAGAATACAGATTAGGCGCTGACGAAAAGAAGGATATCTTTTATATCTCTCTAGTTAATGGGTTCAACGTTCCTATGGAGTTTTCTGCCACTGGTGGAACATCTAGTGATTGCACTAAAAGGTTAAAGTGTACCGGTGATATCAACGGCAGATGCCCAACTGAGCTGAGGGACCCTGGTGGCTGTAATCATCCTTGTACGGTTTTCGAAACCGACCAGTTTTGTTGTCTTGGGAAGACTTGTGGTGCTACTGAGTACTCCAAGTTTTTCAAGAATTTGTGCTATAATGCTAACACTTATGCCACGGAAAATGTAACCAGCGAGTGCCCTACTGGCACTGACTATAAAGTTGTGTTTTGCCCTCAAGAGCCCTTAATCTCGACAGAAACAACTTTCCGTATTATAAATAAATGCCCGCACCCTGTGTGGGCCGCTTCCATTCCTGGTGGTGGTAGGCAACTTGATGAAAGTGAAACATGGAACCTGAACGTGAAGTCTGGCACAATCGCTGGCCGCATCTGGGGTCGAACCAATTGCCTGTTTGACGGTGATGGGAGAGGCAAGTGTGAGACCGGTGACTGCGGCGGACTTCTCGAATGTGAAGGCTATGGTTCACCCCCTAACACTTTAGCCGAGTTTAGCATAAACCAATACAACAGCCTTGATTTTATAGATATGTCTATTATTGGTGGGTTTAATGTTCCGATGGAGTTTAGCTCGGACTCAGGTGACTGCAGCCGAGTCATTCAATGCACAGCCGATATTATTGGTCAGTGCCCGAATGAGTTGCAGGTGCCTGGCGGATGTAACGGGCCATGTCCTGTATTCAAGACACAGGAACATTGTTGCACTTCCGGCAAGTGTGGACCTACAAATTACTCCCAGTTTTTCAAGGAGAGGTGCCCAGATGTTTACAGTTACCCTATGGATGATGCAACGAGCATATTTACTTGCCCCGCAGGGACTAACTATAAGGTTGTGTTTTGCCCTTGAAGCATCCTCATTTGTCAAGACCTTAATTACTGTCTGAATTTTATTTTAAGATCTCTATATTATATCCATCTGGGCATCCGCATTTGTTTCTTAAATTCTTCACTGAGGAAAAAGACATTGGTTGTAATTTGGTGCTACTACGTCTCTTTTGTTACTTGGGCAATCTTAGGATTAAGATACTCGCATATTGTCAAGATTTCTGTGTTTTTTTTTTTTTTTTTTTTTCTTTCTTTAAATCACATAGGACAAAATGGAAAACCCTCAATGATTAGTGAATTGCTGGCCTAACTCGGCACTTGACGACCGAGTAACACGTAATTGTAATTCTCTGTTCGCCATTTTCAAAACTTTAACATGTTCCTAGTATGTGAATGTGACAAACATAATATTGCAAGACCTCGGCAACTGATTTACTGACCATCCAGTAGTTTACATTTCCTTTTATCACCATCATCCAAATTTCTCGGTTTCAAAGCCTGGTTCAGAATTTTCCAAGAAGAAAAAAACGCTATTAATTGCACGTATCGTTAACGTTATATCTTCATGGACACTGAGAATTCCAAGAGAAAACAGCCTTTTTTTATTTTATTTTTAATTGTACGTCTTTTATCGTCTCCAAAACATAAATGCCTCGTGGAACGCTTGAAGTTCTTCTTATTGGCGCTAAGCGCCTTGAAAATGCTGATTTCCTGGGTACCTTTCTTACTCCTAGGGTTGAGCTGCTCTAAGTACCTTATATTTTTTGGAGAAACCGAAACCGAAACTACATAGTACAGATTCCCAAAAAAAAAAGAACTAGAACTGGAACTTAAAATGCAGGTTTTGGTTCCTTTTCCGGGTATCCTATAAAAAATCAATTACCCCCTATTAGTTTAAAAAATGACAAAAATACCTTAAAAGTTTACAGATACACCCCTAACAAATTTTGATTACTCATTCATCTGTATCCAATGTGACTCATAAATCCTCTAATCCTTAGGAAACACTTGAATTCAATCAATTCATCACAATTCACATAAAATTTCTCAATCAAAACCAAAACACAAACAATTAATTAAATTAATTAAACAATCATACTATAAATCTATAATTTAATATTATAATTAATTAAATTTCTAATCATTTAATTAAGTATTGTACTAATGTTTATAATGTAATGCTATAATTAATTAAGTAATCATACTATAAATTTATAACGTAATGCTATAAATAATTAAATTTATAATCATTTAATTAGATATTGTGCTAATGTAATAAATTATTAATGTTTATAATATAATGTCATAATTAATTAAGTAATCATTTCATTATGTAATGTTATAACTAATTATGTGATCATATTATAATGTAATATTATAATAAATTAAGTAATCATACTATAAATCATTAATATAATATTATAATTAATTAAATTTCTAATCATTTAATCAAGTATTGTGCTAATGTAGTAAATTACTAATATTTATAATATAATGTCATAATTAATTAAGTAATTATTTAATTATATAATGCTATAATTAATTATATGATCATACTATAATGTAATATTATAATGAATTAACACTATAAGAAATTTAACATTTAGGGATGAAGTCAGTTTCGTCCCAAAATTGTTATCTTAGGGGACGAAATTATAATTTCGTAACAAAATGTTTACCGCTCGCGCCAACAATGCCATTTGGAGGGAAGAATCAAAATAATATGGAGGGAAATCATTCTGGGACGAAATTTACTATTTATGGATGAAAAATTTTGTAGCTAAACACCTTCTTTTTCTGGGACGAATTTTTTTGTCTTTAATTGTATACAATTTGGAAAACTTATTTGGGACGAAATATGATTTTGTCCTTGATTGTAAAAATACGTTTTTAGGGACAAAATTTATTATTTTTGAACGAAAAATTTTGTAACTAAAACTTTTTTTCTTTTGCGACGAAATGTTTTTGTCTCTAATTGTACAAAATTTGGAACACTTATTAAGGACGAAATATAATTTTGTCATAGATTGTGAAAAATGAATTTTTGAGGACGAAATTTGGAACTCATGGTCATCCCACACTACAAGAAATATATTATATTGTGATAAAATTACTTTTATCAAATGTTATTTTGTTATGAGTAATATAGGTATTATGACAAAATAAAGAAACATCACATTAAGTATGATAAAGAGAATATACAGTGACTAAAAAAAATATTATCATAATATTTCGTCACAAATTTTTGACAACAAATTTTGGCGTCTAGGTAAATTGTTTATTGTGACAAACATATTTTGTTATAAAACATTTTAGTCACTAGATTTAGTTATACATGTTATAATTACAAATTATTTTGTCACAAAAAAAATTATTTATTATTACAAAAAAAATAAAATATTATCATAATATATACTGAAACAGAGGTATGTTTGAATCAAAATTTAAGTGCCAAGAAAAAATGTTTATAGTGACAAACATATTTGTCAACAGAAACTTTATTCACTATATTTAGTAATATATGCTATAATTACAAACTAATTTGTCATCAAAGAATTATTTATCATTACAAAAAAAAAAAAAAAAAAAATTATCATTTATAAATGTTAAAATTGAGGTATTAGTGACAAAATATTTGAATCAAATTAAATGCGATATTTTGTGACAAAATTTTGCTAAAAAGGTATAATTAATATGCATACAACTATTTGTCATTCCTCTCAAGTTTTTAGCAATAACATAGTTTTAGCAGATATGTCACTGGAAAAAACTCATTAACGCATATGATCGGGTACAAGGTCAGGGGCTAGGAAATTGGTCGAGATCGAGGGGTGATTAGGGGCGGGTCGGGTTTGCGATGTCCAACTAGATCAAAGAAATCTGTTCTAAAACAAATACCAACAAATTAGGGGTGAAAAAAAATATATATTTGTAAAATCGTAGCAACACATTTCAATCCGTTGTGAATATTATCCCAAAATTTCAGTTCCTAATTTGTGTTAAATTATGACTTTATTTTAAAAACTTGAAAAGGCCAAAAAATTGTAAAAATACAAAATCATTAATAATTTTATAAATGTAAATATTATGTATCATTTTCGGCTTTAATGATAAAAGAATACAAATCAAATTTAAACTAAATACAAATTACACAATAAAATTCATAAATGTAATGCGTGCCGAGCGCAACAAAAAATTAAAATTTTACTTACAATCATTAGAAAATAAATCACCTACAAGTAACATTGGACAATAACATTATCTTTAATATGTTCTTAAATAGTATCTTTGGTAACTTTTATATGAAAATGTTATAATAAATTTGATAAATATCACTTATCATTTTATAACATATATTTATCAATAATAGCTTTTTTTTAAAATGTTATTAATATATATCTACAATAATACTTTTAAAGTATTATTCTAAACCCAATAATACAGTAGCTGTAAAATAATGTTGCAATATAATGAAGTATAATAACACCTTAAAATATTACCATACACCCGAATATTAACCCGGAAAAAAATACCTTATACCCACCATGTGCCAACTCAAAATTTCCCTAAATTTCATTCACTAAACCTAATACCCGCCAACCCAAAATTTCCCAAAATTTCACTCTTCTTCGTATTTTCTTCACTCTATTTAGCGATATAATGTTCTTCACCCAAATTTCAGCTGCAAACTTCCTTTTCCATTGTTACTTATCTCCATTCAGTCTTATTGTACAAGATTTTCGCAATTTCTCTCAATTTCAACTTCAAAGCGCGAACTCATTTAGGGTGAATCTTCACTCCATTAGGCGACTGTTCTTGCTATTTCAGCTCAAATTGTAAATTCAAGGTATCAGCTCAGATTCAGGTATGTATTTTTAAAATTTTCATTCTTGAATTGAATCGATTACGCAATTAGGGTTTCAATTTTGTTTTTTGGTTACTTGTTTTGGTGGGTTTGATTTTCATTGAATTGAGTTCTTGTGAAATTGTGTGAATGTGGTATGCTTGATGATGTTTAAATGTGGATTTTATTTAATGCCTTTAAATTAGAATGGGTTTGTTTCAATTTGGCTTTTTGGTTGTCTGTTCTGGTGATTGAGTTTTTCTGATTTGAGTTTGTTTGGACTGTTTGAATGCGGATTTATTTGACAGGCATGAACTCATTTTTTTTTTTCTTTGGTTGAAATTGGTGTTGGGTGTGGTTGAAATTATCAGGGATCTTCTCTGTTTGAATTATGGCTTTTGATTTAGTGGGTTCTGGTGATTGATATGTAGTGAGTTTCTCTTTTTGGCAGTAAAAATGGAAATTAGTTTTGGTTAAATTTAAGTTTGTATGAATGCGTTTTTGTTTTTAGTTGAATTTCTAGAAGTAGTTATAAGTTAAAAGTTAAATTTTCAGTGTAACAAGTTGTTAAACTAGTCATGTTTTTAGTGTCAAATTTGAAACCAGAAAATAGGAAAGGGATCATGAGAACAATGGAAATTGCCTTTTAAGTATTCATCAAATTAGAGAATTTGTTTGTGATTAATGAAACTTATGAATGGACTAGAATTTGAATTGATGTAGTCCTGACATTGGAGAAAGTGCAGCACAGATGTTTGATGTTATGCTGCAATAACAGGTAATTGACTGCCTTTGGAGTGTGAAACTTTTCAATATTTGTCAAACTGGTTGAGATATATGCATACAAAGTTTTAATTATCATCAAATGTCCCTACATTTTCATTCTACACTGTTGATAGAAGGAGGTTAGAAGTGATAATGAATATCTCAGGGTGACCACTCTGAAATTCTTAAGAGTAGTCATATTTGACACCTTGTAGTCTTTTTTGTCGCTAGAATTATAGCAGAAACGTAATTAGAGAGGTATAAGATTGTTGAGTGAGTAGAGATAGAGTAGGTGGGTAAGAGAGTATTAATGGGAATTAGAAGAGTAATAGTGGGAGTATAGTTGTTTCCAAGACCAACTATAATGAAGCAAACAAGGAGTAAAAAGAAATATCAAATTAAAAAGAGGAAAAAGAAAGTAGTTAGAGGTCGGGCAATTATTGTGGCAGCACAAATTGGGAGAATCAACTCACCAGCAACGTCTTTAATGATGATAGTGATGATGAAAATGACACACTATCAAATTATTATAATGATGAAGGCAATTATTATGATGATAATGATACAGAGTCTGATACATGAATTTGATAATGTAACTTAATGATTTTTTACATTTGATTACATGTCTATATGGTTTATGTTATTTTGCATCTTATAATAGATTAATATGTTTTTGTTGTGACAGGTACTTTATTGTAGAAGATGGTTTCAGTTTTATGCCACCGCTCTAAGGCTGCAACTAGTCCTTCTCATGCATCAAATAGAGGTACAATTGTTTCACTTAATTCAGTTGAAGATGTCTCCCTAATGTTTTATGTTAACTTTATCTTACAAACTTTAGACAAATATATAGTTGAGTAATTGTTAATAATGATTGTTGCAGACTTGTTTGACATGCGTATACCTAGATGTCCAGCAGCTTCAGCAATTCAGTTTTTTGCTTCTTTTGACATGCAACTACTATAGGAGTGGTACCTTTATTGACATCCAAGTAGTGAAGAATATAGTATATATTTTGACATCCAACTAACAAAGAAAGTGTAGTTATTTTATACTATTGTTTATATGTTAGTTATAGTTGGATGTGTTTATGATACTATTGGCTTATATATATATATAATATTTTGTTATTACTTGGTTATTTGTTGATTTGTAGTAGTATCAATTTGATATTAAGTAATATTTTTTACTTAGTTAAAAAGATGTTTCATATGAATTTTTTTACTTTGAGAATCAATACATTTGTTAATTTTCAATCAGGAACAAATTCTTGTTGTAATTCATAATAAAAGAAAGGGAATTTTTTGTCAGGGATGAAAATTTTTGTCCCTAAATATTGACACCACCAGGGATGAAAATTTTGTTCCCAATTCGCCAACCATCAAGGACGAAAATCTTCTTCCCCAATTCACTATAGCATGAGGGACAGGAATTTTCGTCCCTAATTCACCATTCCATTAGGGGCGAAAATCTACGTGCTCAATTCACCACACCATCTAGGACGGTAATTTTTGTCCTTAATTCGCCACACAGACAATGACAAAAAAAAAAAAAAAAAAGTCCCAAATTATCTACCTAATAGGGATGAAAAGATTTCGTCCCCCATTGTGCATTTTTTGGGGACGAATGACAGTATTTGGGACAAATAGTTATTCTTTTTTGGACGAAAAATTTTGTTGCAAAATAAATAATCTTTAGTGATGAAACTGTATTTTGTCCCTAATGATGTGGTTTTGGGGACAATTCGTTTTTCCGTGGGTGTTACCCTTTGGCAACGTAGTTTTGGGGACGATTTGGTTACAAAATAAATAATCTTTAATGACGAAACTGTATTTTGTCCCCAATGACATGGTTTTGGGGACAATTCGTTTTTCCATGGATGTTACCCTTTGGCAACGCAGCTTTGGGGACGATTTTGTTTGTCGTCCCGCATTACTTTTGAGGACGAATATTCCACTTTTTGTGACAAAAAATTTTGTCCCTAAATGTTAAATTTCTTGTACTGTAAGTAATCATACTATAAATCTTTAATGTAATATTATAATTAATTAAATTTTTAATCATTTAATTAAGTATTGTATTAATGTTTATAATAGAATTTTATAATTAATTAAGTAATTATACTATAATCTATAGTGTAATGTTATAATTAATTAAATTTCTAATTATTTAATTAAGTAATGTAATAAATTACTAATGTAATGTTATAGACTTATAATTAATTAAGTAATCATTTAACTAGTAATATATTAATGTTTATCAATTTATTTTATATAATTAATTAATTACTAATTTACTATAGATATACTTTGAACTTGATAATTAAATGAGTATTCTCATTTGAGGTTTGGTGTTGGATAGCTTGTTGATAGGTTTTAGGTTCTGTATGGGTGGACAAAGAAGAAAGCATACTGATATGTGCAGGATAAATGAGAATAGGAAACAAAATTAGAAATGGGATACTTGGTGTTATTAGACATATCATAATTTGTGTGCCTGTGCCATATGGGAGGTCTAGTGGTTCTAGTTGATTTTCTGGATAAAGAAGGTTGTATAGACTGAGAAACAACATTGGGATTAATAAAAAAACAGGATCAGCAGAGGAAATATTACCTAAAGAAGAAGAGCTATGGACAGGTGCAGATAAAGGAGGTATGCTGGGGATAAAAAGGGGAAAGAAAAGAGTAACAATCAGTGGGAGAAGTCAGGTGGAGTGAAGGAGCATCTAGCTTGCATTCATTGTAAAAAGAAGGGACATTCGGAGAGGAGGTGCTGGTATAGACCATGGATACAATGCAGAGGTTGCAAACAATTTAGGCACATAGAGAAGGTTTGTAAGAACAAGGGAAACCAGCCAACACAGCAAGCTCGGGTTGGAGAAGATCAACAGGCTGAACAGCTCTTTGTGGCCTCCTGTTACACAGCACAAACCAGTAATGAAGCTTGGTTAATTGATAGTGGCTACACCAATCATATGGCTGCAAACCTACAAAGTTTCATCAACTTGGATAGCTCATATTGTTCCAGAGTTAAAATAGGAAATGGTGACTTTGTGGAGGTCAAAGGCATAAGAGATGTGGCTGTCCAAACCTTGTTAGATACCAAAATCATTCCTTATGTATTGTATGTGCCTAAGATTAGCCAAAACTTATTAAGTGTTGGGCAAATGTTAGAGAAGGGTTATTCTCTACATTTTCAAAATCAAGCATGCATTATATTAGACCTTGAAGGGACTGAATTAATGTGTGTAAAAATGTTGGGAAAAAGCTTCCCTGTTGAGTGGAAAAATTCTAGCAACTTAGCCTTATCATCTAGGCTGGAAGAGTCTAAAATCTGGCACAAGAGAATTGGCCACTTCCACTATAGTGGCCTCAAAGAGTTAAAGAATAAGAATATGGTCCAAGACTTACCTAAGATTGAAGAGAAGAGAAGCCTCTGCAGTGCTCGCCAACTTGGTAAGTTAAACAAGCCACCATTTCCCTCGGATCAGGCCTGGAGAGCAACAACAAAACTCCAACTGATCCATACTGATGTTTGTGGCCCTATGCAAACTGAATCAATGAGTGGGAGCAGGTACTTTGTGCTCTTCATAGATGACTTCACACGGATGACATGGGTATATTTTTTGAAGCAGAAAAATACGATACCTGTTGTAATTCAGAAATTTCAAACTGCTGGTGGAGAATCAAGCTGGAACAAAGATCAAATCCATAAGAAGTGATAATGGAACTGAATATACATCAAGGGAATTCAGTTCAATTTGTCAAGGGGCTGGAATTAGGCACCAATTCACTATACCTTACACCCCACAGCAGAATGGGGTCAGTGAAAGAAGAAATATAACACCATGGAGATGGCTAGGTGTATGATGGCAGAGAAGCAGTTCCCTAAGAGGTTCTGGGCCGAGGTTATCAATACAGGAGTCTATCTCCTGAATAGACTGCCAACTCATGCAGTCAAGGGCCAACTCTAGTTGACGCTTGGAGTGAAATTAAACCAGCAGTGAACTACTTGAAGGTATTTGGTAATGTATGTTATGTTATGGTTCCAGCAAGGAAGAGAACAAAGCTTGATGATAAAGCTGAAATTGATATATTCATAGGCTACATCAGTCAATCAAAAGGGTACAGAGTATACATCTCTGAGTCAAAGAGAATTGTGATAATAAGTGATGTAAAGGTGGATGAAAATGCAGTGTGGAATTGGGAGAATAAGAAGATTGAAGTTGACTGCAAAGTGCAACAGCCAACTGAAAATTTATTTGAAGAAGCTGAAACTGAAGAGGATGGAGAACCTCTAGTTAGAGGGACCAGAACCTTGACTGATGTATATGCAAGGTGTAATGTGGCAGTGCTTGAACCAAAAAATTATGCTGAAGCTGCTGAGTCAGAAGCCTGGAGGAATGCAATGCAGGAGGTGATATCTATGATTGAGAAAAACAATACCTGGAGGCTTGTTGACAGACCTGAAAACAGAAAAATAATTCAGGTAAAGTGGATTTACAAGCTGAAGGTTAATCCTGATGGTTCAATCCATAAACACAAGACAAGACTTGTGGCTAAAGGCTTTTGCACAGCAGCAAGGGGTAGACTACTCTAACACATTTGCTCTGGTGGCTAGACATGACACTATCAGATTAATCCTTGCTTTGGCAGCCCAATTTGGTTGGAAAATCTTCCAACTTGATGTTAAGTCAGCATTCCTGAATGGTTGCTTGAGTAAGGAAATATTTGTAGAGCAATCTGAAGGATATCAAGTGAAGAGTGAAGAAGGCAAAGTGTATTTGCTGAAGAATGCCTTGTATGGCCTAAAGCAGGCACCTAGAGCCTGGTACAGCCGCATAAATGATCACCTAAGCAGCTTAGGATATGTTAGAAGTCCTAATGAACACACACTCTATGTTAAGGAGGCTAAAGGTGACTTGATTGTGATATCCTTGTATGTGGATGATCTGCTGATTACAAGCAGCAATCCAGACCAGTTGAGTCAGTTCAAAAGGTCCATGCAATCTGAATTTGAGATGACATATTTGGGGGAGATGACATACTTCCTTGGTATGGAAATTGTTCAGTCCAGCAATGGAATCTTTGTATGCCAAGAAAGGTACGCAAATGAGGTACTTATAAAGTTTGGCATGGAAAATTCCAAACCTGCAGATACTCCTCTGGTTTCTAATTTGAAGCTGAGTAAGAATGATGGTGAAAAGAGAGTGGATGAAGGACTGTTTAGAAGTCTGGTTGGATGCTTGTTGTACTTAATAGCCACACGACCTGACCTCATGTCTGCAGCCAGTTATCTGTCTAGGTTCATGAGTTGTCCAAGTGAACTGCATTATAGGGCAGCCAAGAGGGTGTTAAGATATGTGAAAGGGACCTCCAGGCTTGGCATTTGATTTAGGAGGGCTGAAAATCTGGAGTTGTTGGGCTATACTGACAGTGATTAGGGAGGATCACTTGATGACATGAAAAACACCTCAGGTTATGTATTTTACATCAATTCTGGTGCAATTAGCTGGCTATCAAAGAAGCAAGATACTGTGGCACAATCCACAGCAGAGGTAGAATATATTTCTACTGCAGCAGCTGTAAACCAAGCTGTTTGGCTTTAGAAAAATCTTGGCAGATTTGAAGCAGAATCAGGGAAGTCCAACTCCAATATTGTGTGACAATCAGTCTGTTGTTGCCATGGCCAAAAATCTAGTTTTTCATGGTAGGACCAAACACATTAAGATAAAGTTTCATGCTGTAAGGGAGGCTGGAAACAATGGAGTAGTTACTTTAATTCATTGCCTGGGTGAGGACCAAACTGCAGACATTATGACCAAAGCATTGTCTAAAGCCAAGTTTGAGGAACTTAGACTCAAACTTGGTGTTTCCAGCAAAGGTATCAACGAGGAGTGTTGATGCAATGATACATTGCTGGAAATGCATCATCATTATAGGATTCAGTTGCAAGTTTTTAGAGTCTGTTGAAGTTAGTTTGCTGCAGTGGTCCAACGTGCATGAATGCACCTTTTTGGTGTATTGTAGTTGAATGGCTTAAGTGTAATTAAGTCAGTATTACGATGTGTTTTGTTTATGAAATATTGGTTGTTAAGTTTTAAATTCAAATTTGTATATGTCTATTGTAATTGTT